ATCCTCCTCTTTTTGCTGAGGAAGACTGGCTCTGAGCTAACATCTATTGCCAATCCTCCTCCTTTTTTTTTTTTTCCACCACAGCCCCAGTAGATAGTTGTATGTCATAGTTGCACATCCTTCTAGTTGCTGTATGTGGGACACCGCCTCAGCATGGCCGAAGAAGTGGTGCGTCGGTACGTGCCCGGGATCCGAACCCGGGCCGCCAGTAGTGGAGCTCGAGCACTTAACCACTAAGCCACGGGGCTGGCCTTATTTACATTTATTTAAACATTTGTTTTTAACAGTTATGTTTGGGTTAGACATTAAATAGTTAACCATCATCCTGAGTCATTCCCCCTGCTGACAGATTCCACAACAGAAACATCATAAGCCCATCCAACCAGCAAACCCAAGTATATGTTTACATTATATTTAATATTGATAACTCAGAAGACATGCCTGTTTTTATTAAACCAATAAACTTAAATGATCTTTTATTGACATCTGGGCTAGTTTCTATTACATTTAGAAATAGTTTATATAAGTCCTTACTTCCAGCCAATTAGAGTTTTTTAGATATTATATCATCCAGAGGCAGATAAATACATATAGAGACTTACATACACAGACATACACAGACAGATAGACACAAACAGAGATCTTTAAAATTTTATCCATGTCTCAGGCACAAAACTCAAAAGAATAGTTGGATCTAAATTGCTCCCTTGCAGATGAACTTGTTCAGGTGGCCAAAGATTTTTATTAAATATTCTTTTCTTTTTGCTGTAAGGATCCTTTTTAGAGCTGTTTTTGAAGTCATTTTGTCTTTCAGAAGCTTTTGCATATTAATCAAAAAGTGCATTCCATTGTGAGAGGTTTTGAATCCTCTTTTTTTTTTTGCTGAGGAAGATTTGCCCTGAGCTGACATCTGTTGCCAATCTTCCTCTGTCTGTGGGATGCTGCCACAGCATGGCTGACGAGTGGCGTATGTCTGTGACTGGGATATGAACCCGTGAACCTGGGCCGCCAAAGCAGAGCACACCAAACTTAATCACTATGCCATCCAGCCCCCAAAAATGCAATTTTAAAGAAAAAAGAGGCTTTATTAAAAAAAGGTTTGCAAACTAGGGAAGTACACCTCAACCCACAAGTTGATAGGTGACCCCCCCCCCGTTGGTCTTGGGGTGGCTGGTTTATAAAGGCAAAAAGTGCAGAGTGTGCAAGGCTAAGGCTGAGTCCAGTTCCGATTGGTCGTCCTTTCCAGTTATAGTTTATCTTGTGCCCAGGGCTTTCTATGTGTCCTAAGTGGAGAGAAAAACTACCGCATTGTTCTCTGGCCATCTGGCAACAGTCAAGGTTAAAATGTAATTTCTAATTTCTGCCCATAGCTCAGCCTTGAGGTGATCATGGTAACTGTCACATCTCGACTCTAGCCTCCTTCTTATCTCTTTTTTTGTTAGAAGGCATTCTTTTCTGCTGTAAATCCCTTTACCACACCTAATGAAATTAACGATTCTCTAATATCCTCTAATTCCTGGTAGAAAGGGGCATGGAGCAGCCACCTGAAGCAAAAGGGGCGAGCCACATGGGTGTCTGGCGGAAGAATATTTCAAGCAGAGTGAACAGCCCGTGCAAAGGCCCTGAGGCTAGAGGGTGCCCTATGTTTTTCAGGAACTGCCAGGAAGCCAGTGTGGCTGGAATGGAGTGAGCAAGCCAGGGGCAAAGGGTGGGATAAGAGGGCAGAGAGGGAAGGCGCCAGACCCTTCAGAGACTTCTGGGCTCACCATGAGCTCTCAGACTTTTTTAGGCCCGAACTTGAAGCTACCTATCTCAGCAGAAAAGGAGCTTGACCTTGCGTAAGTGGAAACAGGCACCTTCTGGCGGCGTGTGGGGAACAGACAGAGGGAGGCGAGGGCAGAAGCAGGGAGCTTCCAGTGAGAAGACTGAACGGTCCAGGTGGGCAGTGTTGGCCGCAGGGCCAGGGTGGTAACTGTGGGCGGGGCAAGGGATGATGGGATTCTGGGTGCATTTTAAAGGTCAGACCAGTGGAACTCCCCGTTTCAGATGCCAATTTCAAGTCCAGGTTGTCACCTGTGCCTCTGACTGACGGGAGATTCCCACGGCCCCCTCATTGGGTTCCATGAATTTGCTAGAGGGGCTCACAGAACTCAGAGAAACATTTTACTTCCTAGATCACTGGTTTGTTATAAAAGCATACAACTCAGGAACAGCCAGATGGAAGGCATGCATAGGGTGAGATATGGGGAAGGGACACAAAGCTTTCTTGCTTCCTGGGCTCACCACACTGGCAGCAAGAACCTCCATGTCTTCACCAACCTGGAAGCTCTCTGAAACCCGTCCTTTTGGGTTTTTCTGGAAGCTTCATTACATAGGTATGACCGGCCATTGGCGATTGATTCAACCTGCCATTGCCTCTTCCCTCCCCAGAGATGGGGGGGGGGGACTGAAAGTTCCAATCCTCTAATCACATGACTGGTTCCCTTGGCAACCAGCCCCCATCCTTAGGGGCTTTCCATAAGTCACCTCATTAGCATAAACTCAAATGTGGTTGAAAGTGGCTTATTATGAGTAACAGGACACTTTTATCATTCTGACCACTTGGGAAATTCCAAGGGTTTTGGGAGCTCAATGCCAGAATCAGGACAAGACCCAATGTATATTTCTTATTATAAATCACAATGTCACAGAGTAGGTTCCAATTTGGGACTTGTACAAATAAAATTTATGACTATATCCAGCTTTAGCATATACCAATCAGTGGTTCTACAGCGCATGTGTTATTAATTCACAACCCCCCGGCTGTGTATGAGGGTTCTATGTTACTGGTCAACACTTGGTCTTTTCAGTTTTGTTTTTATTTTTAATTTAGTTTAGGCTTTTTGTGTGTGTGTTCTTTTTTCATTTTTGTCTTTCCGTTCTGTAGGTTGCTGATTTTTCTAAAAATAAACTTTTAGGGTTGGCCCCGCGGCTTAGTGGTTAAGTGCGTGCGCTCCGCTACTGGCGGCCCAGGTTCGGATCCCAGGCGCGCACCGACGCACCGCTTCTCTGGCCATGCTGAGGCCGCGTCCCACATACAGCAACTAAGAAGGATGTGCAGCTATGACATACAACTATCTACTGGGGCTTTGGGGAAAAAAAAAAAGGAGGCGGATTGGCAATAGATGTTAGCTCAGAGCAGGTCTTCCTCAGCAAAAACAGGAGGATTAGCATGGATGTTAGCCCAGGGCTGATCTTCCTCACACACACACACACACACACACACACAAAATTGGAGTGATGAGGGGGATCAAAACTGGGCACCCCAAAATGTATCTCTTTGGCATGAGGATTATTTTCGGCTGGCTACTTTTAAGAAACTGCAGACTGGAGAGAAGCTCTGAGAAGTAGAAGTTACCCTTTGTAAGAGACATTTACATTTGTAAGGGAAATCTCCATTTGTAAAGCCATCTCCCTCTCTGTACCAGGTGGAAGCAGAGGATGATCTTATCTCTAAAAACTCTTATCACTTCGGAAGGCAAGGACTTAAATCTGCATAGTAACCTTACTCTTGTTGACTGTGCTTTT